TCCCCCGGTCCCGATGCCCGAGGAGCGCGGGTAGAGCCCCAGCTCTACCATGAAGGGCTACCTGGACCAGCAGGTGCCGTTCACTTTCCCGCAGGTGAGTGGCGGCTCCGCCGGGCGGGGGCTCCGGGCCGGGCTCCGCTCTGTCGGGGCTCCGCTCTGACCCGCTCCTCCCKCAGCAGCCCCCGGGCCCCGCGGATCCCGGCGGCGGAGCTGTGCTGAGCGCTGCCAAGAGCCCCGGGGAGGCGGCGCAGGACTCGGAAGGTGAGCGGGGTTTGGGCTGGAGGGATCGGTGTGGATGCTGCAGGGACCGGGAACTCCTCCATCCCCACCTCCCGCTCCGGSTGGAGCATCCCGGCGCTCAGGATCCTTCCCTTTCCCCGCAGAGCTCTTCCAAGACTTGAGGCAGCTCCAGGAGACCTGGCTGACTGAAGGTAGGCTCCTTCCCCGAGCTTTGTTTGCTTTTGCTCGTCTTCGAGTTGTTTGTCTTTTGAGGTTCGTGCTGCTCCTTTGCTGTGTTTGCCTGGCTCCGAACAAAAGTGGTTTTTTTCAGGCTTGCCAACCTCTGGCTTGTGTAAATTAAGACGCTGAATGACACTATTGTGCTGGGTATTTGCTTATGAATGGAACTTGGCTGCTGGCCCACTTTCCTGGGTACAAATTTCGCTTCAGGCTATTTGTAACTGGTTCGATTTTATGCTAATTTGTCACTTTGTTGGTTGCCAAAACGTTGATATTTTCTTAAAGAATAAAGCGGTCTTTTAATTTGGGGAACAAAATGTTTCTTTTTTTTTTTTTAATATTATACTTTGTGGGGACCTTCCTGGTATTTACACGCTTTTCAGTTTGGTGTCTAAATTGTTTTGCTTTGAACTTCAAGGAAACTGCGAATGCCAGGAAGTCACATTAATTCCAAGTGAAGTTAGTTTTAAACATGGTGAACTTGCTCTAATTCCAGTACTACAAATGATCCATTTTCTAGAAAATTCAAAACACATCCTCAAGTACTGACTCCTGATACATACAGAAGTACTTGTGTGGCCTGGGTACTTACAAATATTTAACAATAATGATATAAAAATACCCGTGGCATTTTGAGCAGGGTTATTTCCTCTAATTTTACCACGAGTAAGGACAATCTTATTCTTTTTTTTAAGCCTGCAAAAACATGTTTGCTAACAAAATAAGATTATTAAGGRAAAAATCCAATGTTTTATGTTAGTTTCAAACTGGACTGAAATGAGATGACATGAGATCAGGCAGTGTGAGGATTGTAAGGGTGCAATAAGAATTACCTGGAGGCTGTTTCAATATTGAAACATGCACAAAACTTATATCAGAGCAGAAAAATATTCTAAAATCAATGAAGATATTAACTGCTGGGCATGTAGACCTGCTGAATGAACCCCAAGCCATACCCATTMCTATCCATTATATGCAAATAAAAACGAATTGTTAATTGTTTAAATTCTTATAGAATACAAAACTTCTTTATATAAAAAGCTTTACATATTAAAAACCCGTAAAACAAAGCCCGTATCTCAATCACTAACAGAGAGCCTCAAGGCAGCAGGCTGTGAACCCCAAACCCTGCTCATACAATAAAATCCCCATAATTTCTTTTATTTCCACGTTGCTTTTCAAAGATAATTCACAGAATGAATTTTCTGGGTGGTTTTTTTTCCCTTGGTGCCCCACCTTTCAGCGTTTGTATTTCCATTTTGTTGCCATACAGGTTATTTGTAGGAACAGTGATCACAGAGTGGAGGCTTTGGGTGATTCCATTCTTATTCAGCACCTGTTAGCTCAGTGTCACTGCCTGGGGTTTATTTTTGTCCAGTCTAGCCCAGTTCCCAGTTTAGTGGGCTTTCATTCTTTATTTCCCTTAACTCTGACTACATCACCTTTGTTTTAGAGCTGAGAAAACACAATCTGCTGTCCACTCTTCAATAACAAAATTTGGAGGTTTTGTGTCTGTTCTAGCAGCAGCATTTATTTCAGCAATAGTGACAGAATTTATGAAATARCAACAATCTGCTGCAAGCTCTCCCTTCCCTGCAGTAAAAGGGATGTAAAAGTTATTGTTGAAAGTAATAAAATATGGGGAAGATTCTCCCCAAGGTTTCTCCCAGGACACGCATGCGTTCACTAATCCCAAAGGGAAAAAAAAAAGATTTTTAGTCACTAAAATCATCCCAGCAGAAAGCTCAGATCTTTCCTGCATAGATTTATTTCTGCCTTAYTGTTAATTATATGTACAAAGCACCAAAACCAACCCTTCCTCTCTCTTTTTCTCCCTCTCTCCCTCTCCTGACAGCTCAGGTTCCAGACAATGATGAGCAGTTCGTGCCTGACTTTCATTCAGAAAACCGTGAGTAGCACGGGGATGGGGGAAGGGAAAATCCAAATTTTGGTGCTTTCCCCCCCTGCCCCAGGCAGTTTCTCCCACAGTTCACTCCTGTTAACCCCCTTTCCCCAGACTCGGCCCTGCAGCACAGCAGGGCTGGGCTGTGCTCTCTCAATCAGGTATTTTCTTTCTTTCTTTCTTTCTTTCTTTCTTTCTT